CTGCCACTTATGGGAACGTTTTCTTGTCTTTTTTGAGTAAACCACTTAATAAGTCCGTTGTCAACCTTTTCATGTGCAGATAATTTTAACTTCCTTCATCTAACATTTGTTTCGTCATACGCTGATAAAATATTTTCTGTTTTTTCATATTATTGGAACAGTAGATTTTCCAAGTGCTAATTCCTTACAAATGTCACTGCTTTATTCCACTTTTTATTTTGTTAATAATCTCGTACTTTTCATTTAGTGAAAAAGCTTGGCGTTTTTGTTTTTCCATTCTAAAACGATTTACATACATAACGCGGCAAAAACAAGTCACTGCCTGTTTCTCGCTCTCACTAATATAAACAACTCCGCACGATTGGTGTTGCTGAGAGTGGAAGTTCGTTATAAACGGAAAGTGAATATACAACTATCCCAAAAAGTGATCGTTATATATGGAAGTTCGTTATAACCAGTAAAAAAATACGTTGGTCCTTATGGACGACGTTTCAAGTAAAGGAAAAAAGTTCGTTTTAACCGAAAGTTCACTATAACCGGGTTCATTATAAGCGGACTTTACTGCATTTACAAGAGTAGGTTCATTTTTACATCATTTGAGCAGTGGTTTTTTTCCATGCTCCAAATGTTGCCTGATGAACTTCAAGGCTAATTTTCCAGCGGGTAAATGGGCGAATCCGAATGAAACTTAACGAATTTAAATTAAGTAAACAAAAGAGCGAGATGAGACATTTCGTCAACTTGGTAATTATAACTTGGCGTCAAAACCATTTAGCTTTACATGCATTTCTTAATTAACTCTGTTCGAGTTCTCCCCTTCTAAGGCAGGAAATTTAAGCTGATTCGTAAACAGTCGCAATTTGAATACAGACGGTTCTTCGTAAATTGGTTTAGGTGATGATGATTTTTTGGCGCGTTCAAGCGTTGAGTATTGAAAATTCAGAAAATTGGCACTCTGAAATTACAATCGATGATTCTCGGGTTATTTGATCCCGACGTTGCCAGCATTTTAAAGTTGTGCGGCCCGAAGCCAACACAACTGTGAAGAAACCAGCTATAAAATATGAATCATCAGCCTTTCCCCCCCTTGTGAAGAATAAAACCAAAGACCTTCAGCAACTGAAGTATATTAAAAATTGGGCTGAACAAGTGAACAGGATTGGAAACACCAAACTCGTTGAAATTGTCACGATAAATCCACCAAGAACAAATGTTCACAGTTAGCCACAGTCAATAAGTCTCAGCTATATTTAGCCTTAAGATTGAACCGTTCCAACACATCAATGCTGTCCTTAAAAGCAACCCCAGGTCTCACAATGCGATAGAGCCCCTTTTCCGACAAGTCAATAACAGTGGAACCTTCTCTACTGCTATGTGTAGTGCCCCCATCGAAAACTGCCGGAAGTTTGCCCCAAATCGCCTTAAACTCTGTACAAGTCACTGCACTGGGTTCGTTACTTAGATTCGCACTGGTTAGGGCCAGGGGCCTCCCTAGGCCTACAGCCAGGTTCCTTATGAAATTGTAGTTGGGAATGCGTACTCCGATTTTGCCCTGGTGGCAAAGGTACTTGTCCACTTTGCTCACACTGTTCAAAATTAGAGTAACTGGCCCGGGCAGCAAGGTGCTCAACAGCTTCGAAGGCAGGTGATCGGTGCACGTCCAGCATTTGATGTCCGGAATTTGGCCAAAGCAGATGGCAACTGGTTTGCTTTCGTTCCGGCATTTGATGCTGTACATTTTGTGGATGGCTTCCATGTTTGTGGCATCGCATGCCAGGCCGTAAAGAGTGTCTGTGGGCACCGCAACCACGTTTCCAGTCTGGAGTAGATCGATGCCCGACTGGAGGGCGTTCGCCCCACTTATTGGGATGCGTTCAGCCATGGCATTTAGCTTGGCGGAATGTTTGACCAACTTTACAATCCTGTTAGTCAGAGGCATTTATTTCTGCAGTTGTCTAATCGCGCCAGTTGTACTTGCACTCGTTATTGCAACAGCGATAAAAAGTTGTCATCGGCTCATCAGCAGAGCGGGTTTGCAGCTGTTGGAAGTAGGCTCGATTGTGATCGCACTTTGGACACCGTTCTTCAGTTGAATCCACGTTTTTCCACGCGTCTTCGCCCCCTAGCACATCATCAATGCTCTTCAGTTTGCAATAAGTTCTCGAAGTGATCGTTCTTTGCACTGGAAAGAAGACTGGGCACAATTTGCACGTGAACTGGATTCGGCCCGATACGCTCTTCTCCGCAAAGAGGAGATTTGAACAAAACGGGCAAAACGAAACCATACTATTCGCAACTACAATAATAACAACTGTAGTTGGAAATTTGTGTTAACAAAACACGAATAACACGATGCTGAACTTCGATTTGAGCACGGTTTGAGGTTAAGAGTGCTTCGCAATTGTCACCACAGATCACAGAGGTTGAAAACTCTGTGATCTGTGTTTGTCACATTCCGTAAGGCGCGTTCGGAGGGGGCGCGAGCTCTTTGAAGGAGTTCGTTCGGTTTTTAGTTGACGCCATGTGATTTCAACTCTAATCGTGTGCGATTTGTTGTGTTTTTTGATTATTTTGGACAATTTTTTCCGGCAAATTCTTTCAAATTTATTCGAAATTATATTTGTATTCTTTGAACCTAGGGGTTTTAAAAAAATTAATTTAAAGAATATCACAGGTTGATTCAAAATTGGCGTCATTCGTTTTAAGTGGTAATAGGGGCTCAGTTGGAAGATACGACAAAAATATTGAAATTTTTATTTCGATAATTTCTTGAAGATATTTACAGTTGAAAATCGAATTTCAACTTTGTTATTAAGCATTATTTTGAAAGTGTTCCATGTTTAATTTGAACCATATTGGAATACTTAAGTATTTCAAAAAAAAATTTCGATCTTTGCTTCAAAGTACGAAAATTTTTTATATTAAAAAAGTAATCTTCTACAATTTTTTGATGAAAAGTCAAAGCGGCAATGATGTTTTTTGTCATCAACAGATAGTTCCAGGTGGATAGCCCTTGTCAATAATAACAATAATTTGTCAAACTGTGACTTACTTTGAATTTCCTTTCGGAAATTAGCGGGTATGCCACACGTGCGGACAGTTTCCCAGGCACCAAATAAATACCGGGTACACTCCTACCACGTACGTAAGATCACATTAAACCAATGGATTACTGAACACCGGTATAAATTGAGCAGGAGTTAATTACCGAATACAAGAAGTTGTTCGAGAAGAGTCCATAATAAGGTGATTATACAGGTACTTGTTTGGAGTTAGACTCAAATGTATATTTTATCCTTGCCTATCTTATTGCCACTTTATCTGTTGATCAATGGTTACCGGAGTTTTAAATAATTACGAAGCAACAGGTATTGACGTAATGTTAATTAGGCAGATTTCCTTGAAAAACATTGTTGCCGTTTTTCTAATAGCTTTTTGCAAATTTCTCAGTTTTTAATAACAATTAATTTGTGTACAATTTTTTCTGTACTCCTAAATCACCGCCAGACAACACCTCCAGAGGAATGACGCCAATTTTGAATCACCCTGTAAATAAATAATCTTTATTCTTCAAAGAAAAGGCTATCGGCCTACTTGGCTTTGGCTAACTATTCTTTTCAATTTAAAGTATTTTAAGTTGAATTTTGGTTTCTGTCCGCATAAGGGTCCATTTTCCAAAATGAAACTTTTTCTCACTACTTTTTTTCTTTTTTCATCCGGCATTTTATTAGTTATGCAATAGACTGCCCGGACACTCTCTCGTTAAGCACTCGACTTTCTGTATTTTTAAGGGTTTTTGGACGTCACTCAATCACTTTTAGAGATTCGCTTTCTACGAAACAGAAAATCGTTGATAAAACGGTTTAATTTTTAAATTCCACAGCAAAACAGCCATTTTTGGACAATTTTAATAAAATCGGTGGAAGATACTTGGTGGTAGAATCAAGACTGTTCATGATATTCTCGTGGWAGTCGGTGTTGCAAAAAAATTGGAAGAAAATAATACTASTGTTKATACACTGGCCATAATTSACTGCRCCAACAACATAATKAATCACATTAAAYCTGTAAAGTCGACAAACACCCTAATCGAAGTTCTCACAAAAACATGGAAAATCTSCTRAACAAAATARTTGTGACCACGTAACATAATTTGGGTTAATTTATTATGCAAATTTCTCAGTTTTTAATAAMAATTAATGKTTTTACTATTTTTCTGTACTCCTCMAACACCGCGARACAAYACCTCCAGAGGAATGAYGCCAATTTTGAATCACCCTGTAAATAAATAATYTTTRTTCTTCAAAGAAAAGGCTATCGGCCTACGTGGYCTTCCTGCCCTTTGTGCTAATGCATTTACAATTTATTTAACTTACTTYATATCCTAACTATTCTTATTAGTTTAAGGAATTTTGTTTTCTGTCTGCATAAGGGCGCATTTTCCAARARRAAAGTTTTTCTCACTACTTTTTTTTTTCTTTTGTCATCCGGCATTTTATTAGTTATGCAGTAGAGTGCTCGCGCACTCTCTCGTTAAGCACTCGACTTTCCGTCTTTTTAAGGATTTTTGGAAGTCACTCAATGTCTTTCAGAGATTCGCTTTCTACGAAACAGAAAATCGTTGATAAAGCGGTTTAATTTTCAAATTCCACAGCAAAACAGCCATTTTTGGACAATTTTAATAAAATCGGTGGAAGATACTTGGTGGTAGAATCAAGACTGTTCATGATATTCTCGTGGAAGTCGGTGTTGCAAAAAAATTGGAAGAAAATAATACTACTGTTGATACACTGGCCATAATTGACTGCACCAACAACATAATTAATCACATTAAATCTGTAAAGTCGACAAACACCCTAATCGAAGTTCTCACAAAAACATGGAAAATCTGCTAAACAAAATAGTTGTGACCACGTAACATAATTTGGGTTAATTTATTATGCAAATTTCTCAGTTTTTAATAAAAATTAATGTTTTTACTATTTTTCTGTACTCCTCCAACACCGCGAAACAATACCTCCAGAGGAATGACGCCAATTTTGAATCACCCTGTAAATAAATAATTTTTATTCTTCAAAGAAAAGGCTATCGGCCTACGTGGTCTTCCTGCCCTTTGTGCTAATGCATTTACAATTTATTTAACTTACTTTATATCCTAACTATTCTTATTAGTTTAAGGAATTTTGTTTTCTGTCTGCATAAGGGCGCATTTTCCAAAAGAAAAGTTTTTCTCACTACTTTTTTTATCCGGCATTTTATTAGTTATGCAGTAGAGTGCTCGCGCACTCTCTCGTTAAGCACTCGACTTTCCGTCTTTTTAAGGATTTTTGGACGTCACTCAATCACTTTCAGAGATTCGCTTTCTACGAAACAGAAAATCGTTGGTAAAACGGTTTAATTTTTAAATTCCACGGCAAAACAGCCATTTTTGGACAATTTTAATAAAATCGGTGGAAGATACTTGGTAGTAGAATCAAGACTGTTCATGATATTCTCGTGGTAGTCGGTGTTGCAAAAAAATTGGAAGAAAATAATACTAGATTTGATACACTGGCCATAATTGACTGCACCAACAACATAATTAATGTATAAACTTTCCTGACTGTGTTTCAATCCCAAATCAAATTCATTCCTGGGTTTCAGTCATTTATTGTCTCTATTTATCAATCAAAATACGTTTCGGTGTATTTTTTCCGGGGAAAAATACACCGAAACGTATTTTGATTGATAAATAGAGACAATAAATGACTGAAACCCAGGAATGAATTTGATTTGGAACATAATTAATCGCATTAAATCTGTAAAGTCGACAAACACCCTAATCCCAAGTTCTCACAAAAACATGTAAAATGTCCTAAACAAAATAGTTGTCACCACGTAACATAATTTGGGTTAATTTATTATATAAAACGGCCCTTACACGGTAGCTTAACAATGATGATCGAGGTCCATTGAGAAGGCCGACAGCTGTTAACGCCGTAAAAGCCGAAGGACCGCATTACACGCTGCCATTGTCCTATTTGGAGTCTTTTGGACAACCTTTCGGGTGGCAAAATGTCAGGATGATTTAGCTGCTTTAGACCATGTGGTGATTTATTATGCTGCAAGATTTTTAACGTGGAATCCCATCTAAAATGTACCCAAAGGCTTTCTTAGTGCATGTGCGATAAGCTCGCCTATTCATTATACACGCTCTTTATAAATAAATCTTCTCATTTGGCGCTGGAAAACAAAACAGCCTGCTGGTGAATTACCAAAGAAAGCAGCCATTAACTGTCTGAAAACTTTTAATTTTCCGCCAATTTTTAGTTCAGTTTTGCCGAAATAAATTGGGTAAAACAGTCCAACAGGGAATGGATAATTTTTCTCAATGAAACAGTAAATCGTTTACCGCAAAGATACTAAATTAATCAATTGAAAGCATGGAAAACAACGAATCGAAATGGTAAAGGTTTCCACAGGTCACTTTCCAACAGCGAAACATCAATCAGGGCTCGCAGATAGGAAAACTGTTCCAATAAAGCGCTGCACAAATGTTCCCCTATTTTCGGCGAAAAGTGTCGCCCCTATAAATGATGTATTATATGGTCGTGTTATTCGGATGTGTTTGCTTTCTCCCCAGGCGTATCATGTCAAGAGCTATCCAGATTATTGGCGTAACTCGTAATTGCTCCGACAACACCGTATATAAATTCAAATGCGTGCAACCTGGAGTTATTCTCGCCATTTTTTCCATTGCGCCATCAACATCTTCTAAACGATTGTTAAAATTCGGCAAATTCATTCATACGCACTCTCTTGTTTGCTGCGGTTTTCTAGTTCCAACTGCAGTTGTTCATTTTTCAGATCAGAATGACAATAAGTACCTATAGTGATTGCAAATATTATCTCCTCCATGTCCATTTCCCTATTAATTAATATGCATGAAGAAAAACCTTCGACAGACGAAACTTTCGTGTTAATTGCAAGACAACAATCTCGTGTAGCCAGCAGGAAATTATGAAGAATAAATTGTGGTTTACAACGAGGTGGAGCGTGGATTTAACTTGGGCGGCGGCATATGCAGCAAACCACGCCTCAGCCTGCAATAATAACAACTTGACCAAGGCAAACCAGTTGCTTATCCCCTATTAACATTTAGGTGTTTAGTGTCTTCCTAATGGGCACCGTAAATTTGCATAGAAAATCGCATGGACAGTTATCCAAGCGAATGAAATGATTAGTTTCTAGAATGTGAAGCCATCAACATCAACAGGCGATATTGATGTCTGCTAACGATAAGGAG